AAGAATTATTAAATAATATATTTATTTATTATTATTTTCAACACTTACCCATGCTGGGGTGTGTCAGTCCTAGTGTCCACAAACTCATGCTATTTATGGTCAACCAAACTGGGCCTTCTCCGTGACGATGCAGTCCTTCTCCCAAGGTCTCAATTAAAATTCTTTGTAGCTGACTCCCAAACCCCAAATCTATTATTTCCAGCCCTGACTGTTCTTTGAATTTCCAGGCTAATGGATTTGGTCACTGGTCAGTATTTCCTAACAGCTCCTTCCCTTATTTTTTTTTTTTTTTAATGGCACCACCACCTGGTTAGTCCCATAGGCTCTAAATCATCCTTGAGTACTACTTGTGATGTCAAGCCTCACATTCCATCAGTAACTAGAATGTGTTGATTCTTTTACTGCATATCTCCAAAGTGGTTCATACTTTCCTATTTCCATGGCCATGACCTTAGTACAGGTCATCCTGTTTGGAAGATTGGCCTCTTAAGTGGAACTCCCTGACTCCAGGTCACTGCTCCCATCCATGTGGTCTGGCCTCACCAACATCTCATTACTTTCCTAAACCTTGGATTTGATTGTATCACTCACATCTTTTCTAAGCCCTCCAACATCTCCTTACATTACTCAATATAGTATACGTCCTGTACTTGGAATTTTTCAAACCAATCCCCACACCCTTGTTTCTCAGCCTTTTAACCCCTCATGTATGACTTCCCCTGGAGTCCAACTGTACAAAGGGACTCTTGAACACTCTGCACTTTTGGCCTCCCTGACTCAGTTTATGCCATCTGCAGTATCCGGATTACTCCTTCCCTACTGCTATTAAAATTTTACCAACCATCCAAGATCTGGCTCAGTATATATGCCACCTCCATCATCTACATTGTGATGAAGCCTTTCTCCTGTTGCTAGTGATTTCTCTCCCTTCAGATAAGGCAACTGTATATGGTCTGTCCATACCACACCTATGTCGAGGACACATCCTGTACAACCATAAGCAGTGGTCTTGCCTTTGATCTCTTATTGCATTTGCCTTGTCAGCTCCTTTCATTGCTTTTTTAACTTCATAAACTTCTGGTTTCCTTTTAAAAATAGGTTATTATGCATATGCCTTATTTCCTTCTGTAGGTTATAAGCAATTTGAGGACACAACTAGGTTATATTAAGCTCTGCATCTAACAATCTACCTACTAGAGTGTGTTGGAACCACATTTGTAGGAAGAATGAAGAGCAAAATTTTTCTATAAATATTTTATTTCTTTCTCAAACTGCTACACACAAGCTAATAAATGAAAAAAATTCTTGTGGGATGCCAGCTATGAATACTTGGCATTAGCTCATTGATTAAATCAATTTTTAACTTTTTGTATAGGTATTTTCATGTTTGGTGTTAAATAAACACCAATCTAGTATATTTTCACTTAGAGCCAATTTCTTTTGTTTCTAGCTCATTACCTTGTAATCCTTCCATCTTCTTTTCTTGTTTTTAAAATATCAAACCATCCTTTTCTTCATTTTCCAATTATGGGTTATTTCATTTGAAGAACTAACTATTCCATTTTCTATTCTAGTATTCCAATATTTGTCTTAATTTTAGTTGGTGAAACTTACACTTCAGGGAGAAATTCCTGCCATAAATCTGAGTCATTCCCTGAACTTTCCCCTTCCTTGTAAACCAAAAAAATGGCTATAATCCAAATTATATCTAATTTTTAAAATATATAACAACTGCACATTACATTTCCATCTTGGTACTTTTTATTATTATTTTATTTCTTGGCAAATTTCCTTTCCTACCACGTCATATTCTGCTCTCCCAAACCTTTTCCTTTATCACACCCCTCTCCCCAAATTATACTTAAAAGTTCCTTGGCAGGTTTTATTTTATTTTATTTTATTTTTATTTTTTTAAAGATTTTATTTATTTATTTGAGAGAGAGAATGAGAGAGAGAGAGCACGTGAGAGGGGGGAGGGTCAGAGGGAGAAGCAGACTCCCCACTGAGCAGGGAGCCCGATGTGGGACTCGATCCCGGGACTCCAGGATCATGACCTGAGCCGAAGGCAGTCGCTTAACCAACTGAGCCACCCAGGCGCCCCCTTGGCAGGTTTTAAATCTCTGCTGGTATTGGGACAAGCAAAAGGCTTTACTCTACATAACTGGTACTCAGTAAATGACTACAAATGATATCTATATATTTTGACTTTGGGGTCTGTAGATTCATGATGACGAGTGGATCCTTTGTCTTCCTTTTTCCTATCCTTCCCATGTCTATTTTTGTTTTTATTTTCATAAATTTTATTCTCTCGTTAATGCAATTCTGAGATTCTTCTCCATTTTTTCCCCAACAAATATTTATTCATCATTTGCATGAACAAGGTATAAGCTATATAGTTTGATGGGATTACAAGATCAAATTCAGAAACAAATCCTGTCCTGTAAGAGCTTATGGTTTAGCAGAGGACACAAAATGTCTATAAAAGTATTTGTGAAGTCTTATTAATGTGTATTACATTTCATATGAAATGTAACATGAAATATAATTAGAGGGCCATAAATTTGGGAAGTCAGCTTTTTGGAGGTAGCGGTATCTGAGCTGAGTCTTGAGAGAGAGATCCTTGCAGACATGATGAGTTAAGGTGCTTTACAAAGGAGAAAGCCACTTCATATTACTTATCCATTTCACACTGACTACTCATTAATGTGTGAGGAGTTTATTTCTAAACAATCCCGAGCTTCTTTTTAAAGCTAGGTTAATTCATTGTAAACATGAACAATATTTCACATTTTAAGAAAAATAGTCATTTCCCATGACTCTCTTTCCCCTTGCTTTGGACGCTTTACTTTCCTATTGACCCAATTCAGCAAATTATGTGTGCGTGCACACAAACACACATGCGATAAAAATAAACCCAACTTCACTTAAAGATTTTTAAAAATTTATTTTTTTGAGGTAAGAGATCTTACCCTCTTTCCACATATTTAAGTACACAATATAGCACTGTTGACTATGGGTGTAATGTTTTACAGCAGGTCTCTAGCACTTATTCATCTTGCAAACTAATAAAAACCCTACTTCAGAAGGACTGTCTTCCTTACCAGTGGTTAAACTTTCATTCAGGGTTTATCCACTCTGTCACACTCATTCAACAAGCATTTAGTGAGGGTCTACAACACATAGGCAACAAGTGAGCTGCTTGTGAAGGAGACACAGTAAGAACCAGCCAGGCTCAGTTCCCGTCCCTGACTGTTCCCTGACTACATACAACTACGCCTAAGTTGCTTGACTATGGTTGCTTTAAAATGCAATTATTTTCCCTCCTAAACAGGTGCCCTGAGTTCTCCCAGCATAATCCATTTTCCAAATGTCACAGGACAAATGCCACAATTAAAAACCACATGATTAAAGACCTGTGTGCCAAAACAGGATTCCAGCTATCAGTGCAGTCCAAAACCAAACAGAGGACATTACTTGAGACTTGAAGACTCCATTAACCATGTAGTGTGTGGTTTGTAGATGTCTAGCTTAAGGGAACTGAAATGGCAGAGAAGCAACAGTGAGGCTCATGCTGGGATTGAAGGGCAGAGAAATTATTTTTACTAGAAACCTATAGTTTCAGCTTGCAGAGTATTGCTCCAGAAAATAAAAAGTATCAAGTGAAAGGTTTATTTGTTAACATGATTTGACAGAAACATGAGCTTAGAGAGAAGGTAAGATGGTGAGCAACAACAACAAAAAAAGTGCTACTTATGCTCTGGATATGATCAAGGGTCATGATTAAAGGCCTAAATGAAGTCCGTGTAAATAGCAGGGTCAAAGTGTTAGAGAAATATGTGACATGATTATGATATCATGTTACTTGGGGCTGTTGAGAAATGTTTTCCAACTACCAAAGTGAGGCCCTGGAGGAGCTAAAAAGCTCTCTGACCCAGCTTCCCTGGGGAAGGTTCAGTCTGGAGATAAATCTCTGAATCTGACCTATAAAGAAAAGGCAAAGCTCACCACAGACCATCTATCTAATAGCCCCAGAGAGTAAATGATCTTCTGACAACGCGGGAAGGCAGGGAACAAACTGAAGACTGAGGAAGATGCGAGGACATTCATGCTCCGCTGGAATAAATGCACTCGAGAGCCCATGGCCATGAAAAAACCAACAGCCAGTTGGTAGCTGAAGTGGAAATGAGCAGAGCAGGAACTGATGTGAGGTCAAGTTAGCGCCATTTCAGGTGCTCGCCCCCCCGCCCCTCCCCCACCCTGCTAATCTGGCGTCTGCAGCTTGGCCCCGAGAAAGTAGACAGGAGAGGAAATAGGAGCATCAGTACCTCTGGGGCCGTGGTTTCTTGCTCTCTTTTCTCCCACAAGCCCTCCACAGACCCACACTATCTGTTTCTGGTTTATGTTTACTGCATCCTGGGCTCTGGACTGTGATGAGGCACAATTATTACCAGTCATGTGGCAGGTGGCACTTTACCTTGACAACTTTTTTCTCCTGATTTCTAAGATATTTTGGTCCTTTCTCTTTTTCCTTAAAATAGCAAGGAAACATTTTTGCCATTCACTTGTTTCAGCATCTAACAATTGAGATACTTTTTCTATTATGTTATAGTAGTCACACCTAACTGAAAGGGGTTTTATTTACTCTTCCTCTATTAACATTATTTTATTTTAGTCCTAATTTGTTCTTTCCCCTTGTCTAATTTTTTTCTAGCCTCAAAATTGTAAACACTCCACTGTTAATTTTTTGTATACCTCCCATACAAGATGAATCCACTAATCACTGCTTGGCCTTTCAAAATGTCAGAACACACATAATTGAATTATGCATATCTAATTCACTGTAACAGCTTCAGTTAGCATACTGACATCAGTTTAATAGTCAACTTAATAAATTTTGTTTCTAAATTTTGGCATCTAAGATGCTGTATCGTTTTTTAAAAATCTTTCATCTTGAATTCTAAAAACTTACCAAGATACGAAAGTAACAGTGTTGATATAAGCCACAATTACACCTCTTGAAACTCTCTCTCTTTTTCTTGCAACATACTGAAAAACAACAAGAAAAACACTTTATTTGTTTTTGGAAAGAGATTCTGAAGTACACCATCATCTGGACATTTTATAAGGCAGTTTTTCTGAAAATACAGTAACAAAAGATGGCAGAATTAAGTGGAAAGCTTACCTTCATAAACAATACTAAAGAGAAGAAGGAAGACGTTATCTGCTTCAAGGAGTCTTCCCAAGGAGTGTAAAAATTCTCTCTGCATATGCATATACACATACTAAAAATGCCTATCTGTACTTAATATGTGTATATGTATATACAAAGGCATGACAGAAGAGAAAGTAACATGCCAAATGAAACTATAACTGGAGGTAAATCCAAGTAGTAGTGTTCAGGCAATATGGGGTAAGGTAAGAAGTGATCAGCATCAGCTACAGTAACCTTAAAAACAATTTTTGTGTTTGGCTTTGGAGAAAATACTAAACAGATTGAGAATAGTTAAGGGCTCCAAAACCTAGAGTGAAGTCAAATACATCAAGTATGCAAGAGAAAGTCACTGCAAGTATCCTGACTAGGAAGTAACCTTATGAACCGGGGTTCAAGGGAGAATGAGACAAAGGTACAGTTTAGAGGGAAGGAAAAGCAAGATTCTGTGGCAGCTCAGCCAAGACATCATAAAGACATGAGGATGTTGACTACTGCCAAAGAGCTAAGAGACACAGAGAGGAGGAATCAGTATATCCTGTTGGTAGCATGGACATGAAAGAGAATATGCAGACATGCCTCCAGAGCCCCATGACTGGGCATCTACGCAAGAGTCTGCTGCTTATACAAATGGAGCCGAGATGACCTCTACTGATACCTTAAGATAGGTCATGAAGACACCAGTGTGAAGGTCTTCTACAGGTAAGTGGAGATGTGGGACTGAAGCAAGTGTGAGAGGCAGGAAATGTGGATAAAGACCATCAATATGCATCGGGAGCTGCCATGGAGAGCAAACAACTTTTTTTTTTTTTTTTAAGATTTTATTTATTTATTTATTTGACAGAGAGAGAGAGACACAGCGAGAGAAGGAACACAAGCAGGGGGAGTAGGAGAGGGAGAAGCAGGCCTCCTGCCGAGCAGGGAACCTGATGCGGGGCTCGATCCCAGGACTCCGGGATCATGACCTGAGCCGAAGGCAGACGCTTAACGACTGAGCCACCAAGGCACCCCAGCAAACAACTTCTTAAAGACATATGAGCATGCGCATGTTCGGTGAAATGGCAACATCAAGCTTACTTATGCACATATTGAGCAAAACAAAGTACCTTATTTCATTATCCTCTTCATTAATCTGTATATTTTCAACTGTCCTTGTGAGATTTGGTTGTCTCTTCTGGGTAAAGAACAAGGATACATATTATAAAAATATCAATAAATGGTATAATATTCAAGAGGTTAATGGTCTCTACTTTTATATTTTATGTCAATAACTCCAATATCAGGGTTTTCCTTTTTTCCAGCATGCAGCATATAAAATACTTTTGCAATAAAAAAATATGAAAAATGCACCGTATTATTGACTCAACATTTTTAGGGGGCTGGAGGTGAAAAAGTAATGAAACTGAAAGATTTAAATGGTAATCAAATTCAAAAGACATTTCAGAAAGTTGAATCACAATGATTTAGCACATTTCAAAATTTTAGACAGGTCTCTGTGAGAACATAAGAACAGAAATCCAAAATAGCAGATAATACAAATGGCATTTCTACTTGGCTTTAAGCACATCATATGATTTGCGGCATATTTCTTCCTTTTTATATTTAGTGCAGGCTATTAAAACCAGTTCCCATTTCTTAAGTGTGCATTTTCAGTGGGAGGGGTTGTCTCCTAAGCATGATAAGGAATAAGGGGAAAACCTTAAGATTTAGAGTCCGTTGAGACTAAGTTAAGGTAGGACCTTTTCTCAGAAAAGGGCAGTGTGGTAATCGTTTATGTAAATATAGTATGCACAAATAAATACCTAAAGTTCACGAAGTTTTGATCAAGAAAAAAAAAAAAAGGAATAGCAACACTTACCTTCCAGTATAAGGCTCCAAAAGCAAACCCGATTACAAGAGAGAAGAATGCTGGCAATGCCATGGCGGCCCATTGTAAGTTGGAGTCTCCAATGGGGTTTGAGGCCTTCCCTGTAATTAAAACAGTACAGTGGTGAACACAGCATATCCCTGCTAGAGGTTTTCCTCTTATGCTGTGGTTGTTCCCAACTGTTTCCATAATGTATTCTTGACCTAGCTCTGTTTAAAATATTTGAAATGCTGATTTTTCTGCTGAGTATTGTTTTGGGACAGCAATACAAGTCCATGTTGTCTCCAAAATATGTTAAGTTGAAAAATAAAAGAAAACCCACAGAAGGATATCAGACGTGGCTGATGTTGACACATATGGAACGCAGACGACATATTCCTAAAAGTGATTTTTACTCTCAAGCAAATCCATTTTCTATGACTTTAAAACCTTTTTGTTTTCTCACTCTTCACACCTTGCCAAGAAATTGTAAAGAGGGCATTTTGCAACCTGGATTGAGGTCGGTATGCATTTAGCTGTTCTGCCTGCCGCAAATAATAAGTCATTAAATGTACTTAGTGGTTGAAGTATTTCTAGGTACCTCATGCTTAGAGTCATGGCCTTTCCTCATCACATCTGCAGTATACGTTTCCTGGATGCCAGAGAGTGCCCAGCTCTGTGCTAAGAACTAAAGATTTGATTTTTTCAGACCTTTTATGTTGGAAAGCCTGAGACCATTAAACACTAAAGAATGGCTGAAAGCACCAGTATCTTCTCATTGCTTACTCTGCTTACTTTAAGCGACAGTGAGAGACAAAGACAGAGACAGAGAGAGAGGGGGGAAAAAACATGTGAGATGAACTTGGGACTCCTTTTGATCTGCTCAGCTCCTCCGTGAGCAGCAGAATGATTCATGAATTAAACAAAACACATCTACCACAAGGGTTTCTTCTCTCTGTCTCCTTACAAGGAACAACCTGGTTGTTTATAAGAGACACAGACACATGTGCCAACCTGTACAAAAAGAACTGAAAATCTTCAGTTTTCTTTTTATGAAGGAATACATTTAGAAATTATATATTTTCAGCAATTATAGGATCAAAATGTAAACTAATCCAAGGTAAAGTGACTATTTTGGGCTATAATATTTTGCAATATTTGGGATACTGTGTCAGCCTATAGTCACCTATTTAACATATTAAGTACCTAAAGTACATAATATAAAAGAACCAAACCCCTGTATGTGTATAAACATTTACAGGGAGAACATGAACTTAGATTTAACTTGAGAGGCAAGAAACAAATCTTATCTACTGCAGAGAGAACAGGAATTGCCTATTTCCCCACCATTTGTAAACTGGGAGCAGGAAATTCACTAATTCCAGGACTCCTTTCCAAAGGGCTTTAATAGGAAGTTTGTGTGTATGTGTTGGGCGGAGGGTGAGTCATGGGTGCCCCTTACACTTAAGGAAGGGCGATGGGGATGGAAGTGGGGTCTTCCATTCATATAACTATGAATCACTTCCTTGAGACTAGACTAGCGTATCTTCTGACCCACCCCCCATCCTACAGCCTCGTGGGAAATAAGTTTTAGGCATTTTAAAGTAGAATTCCAACGTGAATTCTTTCATCACAATAAAGCAGAGTTACAACATGGAATTTAGTATAACTTAAGTGGTACTACAATTATTGTAATAATATAGCTATTTTAAGAGTTATATAAGATTGTGTATACTAATCTGGGATTTAACTACCATTTATAAAAGTGTTTTCTCTCAGAAAATGGATTCAGAATTATAAGCAATTCTTGCCATTTTGGGAATTTTAACACCACTATCTGTACATAACTTGGCTATTTGCGGTTGTATTCTAGCAGCAAGTTTGAATTCTCCTTCATGGCCACTGGCTATATTGATGAAGAATAATAATTGGAAGGCAGGCAGGTAGGGACTTGCCCCAAGAGGAAACCACCATTAAAAGGATTTTACACCGCCCTGGAAGGAGCCCTCCACCCTTTCCCATGTGACAAAAACCTGATTGGATGACAGGCTAAGGGAGGTTTAATCAGATTGAAACAGCCTGTCAACAAGCCCATAAAAATCCCTAGACTTAGAAACTCTGGTGGCAACCCCTTCAGGTCCCCTCCCTCCTTGGGAGCTTTGTACCATCACTTTGCTACCACTCAGTAAAGTTTGCTTTGCTGCCCACCACTCTGTCTCGTCTACCTCTTCTTCAAAGTGGTGTGACCAAGAACCGTGGGCACAGAGAAAAAAATCCTGCAACACTATGGCCCACAGCGTCTATTGGGACCGCTGCGTGGTTATGATAGATTTGACCAGGTGACCTCCTGGAGGGGTGTCCTCATGAAGGTATACAGAGAGAACAAAGGAACCTATTGATATTTTTGTCCCCAGACTCCAATGGAAAATGAATGAGCTACGATGATGCTATGGAGAATTCTATTACATATGTTTGGGTAGCCAGATGCCCTGGAATCAAGGCGGCCAACACCCTATTCTTCCTGTTCTTTCCAAAAGCCAAATCTTGACTTGAACCATTCAGACCACAGGAAAGACAGGCCCATTAGCAACAAGCAGAAATGGCTTACTAGAGAGTGAGATATTCTGGGATTCCCCACTCACAATCTTTCTCAGGTAGGACAGCCCCTAAAGAAGGTGTTCCAAACAAATCCATGCTGGATGAGAGACCTAACTAAAGAGAACTCACTTCACTCTTCCAGAGTAGTGACTTTTTAACCACTTTAACAGTTCCATCCCCAGGACTATGGCCCCAAAGTCCTAGAATCTGACTAACACACTGCAGCAGTCCACCTGCAGGAGACAGGGAGGGAGGGGTCTGGTAAAGACAGGAGGGGAAAGGGACCAGAGGAACTGAGCTTCACCTCCTTGAGGGGTCAATGTTAGCTTGCTTTTGTTATTTCTCATTAATGCAAAGAGTTTAATAGCCAGCCTTTGGTTCTCTCCAGTGATACTGTCATCCCTCTCACAGAGAGAGAAAAGGGCCTATTCATACCTCCAGTGCATGACCCCCCAAGAGTTTCTACTGCTGCTATCTACCAGGGATCAATGAGATTTAAACTGTGTGCCTCAAGGCCCAAGTGGTGGGTATTTGGCGTGGATGCCCAATCTAGTAACAAGGCTTTGCTTTTATGTAAAGATTGCCATGAAAAACTTGTAGGGTGAGGGAGCTCATCTGGACAGGATTTGAGTAATCCCAAATCCCTGGGTTGTTGTCATAATTGTATCTCATTATTATGAATGTCCAAAATTTGTGGGAACTGACTTGTTTGGTTTGACAAATACCCAACATCTGTTCAAATATAGAACATGTAAAACTGTGCTACAATTTTGCTGAACTCTTTTTCGAATGATTTTGCTTATAGGCATCACCATGCCTGTGAACATGGACCTCCTGGTGCTTAGAAAACCTTCAACTCAGTACTCCTCCTTAATTCAGATTCAAAGCTCATTGTAGGCTTGCCACAAGTACTGACCCACAGCCTTGGTACACCTACTTGACCTAATAATGATGAACACATATCATGCATAAGGCATGGCTCCACATTCATGCATGTTAACACATTTCAAACTCAGGAAACTCTATGAAGGAAGTACTATCATCCTTCATTTGACTGGCAAGTCCAGAGAGATAAAGTAACTCACTCAAGGTCACATAGTTAACCAAAGGCTAACACTGGTATAGAAGCCCAAGCAGTCTGAGTCATAGACTGTCTTTTTAGAAGATGTATAACGTAATGTCAAAGTAAGGACTTCTTCTGTAACATTTAAATACCGTTTGCAAGGATCTTAAACATGCTTTTAGCATGGTATAAAGGAAATTACTATTATTTTGAAAGCACAACTCCTTTAGTAGATAACTTGAACACTTTTATAAGGGAGATTCATGGGATAATATAAGATACAGAGAGGACACTCACATCTCAGGACTCCTTCATAAACATTGGTCCTCCACCTAGCATGGCCACTTTTTGGGATTTTATCCTGCAAACCAGCCTGGTCACTTCAAATTTCCTTGCCCATATCCCCCCCCCCCCCAAATCTTACCTCCTTTATGCTACAACTAAAAACATTTACATGCTTCTATTAAAATACATATTATAATATATACACAATATATATGATAAAATACAAGGACTGTTTCTCTTACAAAAACGTAAGCTCTACAAGAGCTAATCTTTGCGCATGGGTATCTAAGTGCCATATTGATGAGTGATGTCTCCTGACAAAAAGCAGCAAATTATGCAAGACCCATACTTTTCTACAAAAAGGAAAAAAAAAGGAAAGCAAAACAAAGAAAAAAGAAGGCTGACCATTCATTTTGTAATAAAAAAAAATGTATGTGTTTTATATTCATTTGTCTTTTGAGGTAAGTAGAAAAGACTTTTGCTTCCAACCATGATAATAGCAGGTTAGCCTCCCCAACCTAAATAATTATTATACTAGACAAATTATTTGAGGCAGTTATTTTCATTCATTAGACAACAGGTAGCTCAAAAATGTAATCCCTAAGAGAGTAAAAACACATGGTGAGGCCCATGATTGTCTTCACTTTCTGGCTGGGAGGTATGGAAGATAGAAGCCAATTAGGGTTCAGTGGTCTCACTGAGATAGGGAATCAGAGACTGAAGTTCAGGGATGCAGATGTGGCTGGAGTTTGTGGGGCAGGGTTACTGGTGCTATGCAGAAAAGGAGCTATGCAGAAAAGGAGCACCAGAAATCTCTGGAGGAATCTCCTTGTCATTGGTTAAAAAAAATAAGCTGTACAGGGAAATCCTGGGGCCAGCGGGTTTCAGTCCTCCCCTCTTATCTGCCAACAGAATCGGGCCAAGAGACGCCTGCGGTACGGGAGGGAGGAAGCTCCACCTCCCAAGAAAAGAGCAAGTGGGCAGGCAGCTGCCGGGCGGAACCGAACTGTGTGCAGGGTGTTTAGAAGTCGGTCCTGGTCGGCGCCGCTGTCCTCGAGGCCATGGTGCAGGCGGAGCTCTGGGCGATACCCAGGTGAGGGCAGCGGCTCCGCCCGGGGATTCCACCGCGGAAAAGCTGGGTAGATGCGGGGCAGGCAAGAAAGGATGCTGTCCGCA